CCGTCCCGCCGTCCCCACCCCCACCCCCACCCCCCCCCCCCCCGCACCCCCCCCCCCACCCCCCCCCCACACTCACACCCACACCCACACCCACACTCACACCCACACCCCACACCCACATCACACCCACACCCACACCCACACTCACACCCACACCCCACACCCACATCACACACCCATACCCATACCCACACCCACACCCACACCCACACCCACACCCACACCCATCACACCCACACAGCCACGGCCACAGCCACAGCCACACATCCACACCCTCATGCATCCTAACTAGTTCCTCTTTATAACTGTGTGCTCTGTTAGTCAACTAAGATATGCTAAAAGCCGCCTTGAACACTGTGCTGAATGAATAAATAATATTTGTTCAGTGTATATTGGTCGTTTATTCATGAATAAATACTGAATAATTTAAGTGAATAGAATGAACAAAAAACGGAGGAATAAAATAATTAAAAAAAGTACAAATGTAAGGGAAAATGACGTAACACAAGCTGTCAGAACTATTACGTTTAAAAAAAAATGTAGCCTGAGAAATACATGAAATCTTGATGAAAATGTATAAAATCACAAGCACACTAAAGAAACTTACTTAACTATTGGGACAAACAACTTTAAAATACCAGGCTGTGCCTGTTCCACCAGTACAATTTGGTTCCACATCGACTCGAATATTACTATTGCCAGATGTTAAAGTAAGTGTAACTGTTACTTCATTTGCGGTACCAACACAGCCACTATCAAGTAGATTTGTAGCACCATTCCACACTTTTACTCGATCTGGTTTTGAATACGTTTGATAGATAAATTGAAATGAAGTTGTTCCAGCACCCATATTATATCGACGGGAAACCGGTGTGTCGGCTCCAGCAATCTGTTGTCCTTTGCATGCTGTACCACAGGAAGCAGAACAAGAAGAAACGTTGCCACTGGACAAACTGCATACGTCGCCACAGGCCACATTGATTTGATAGGAAACCGGAGCTGAAAGTGCACTGCTATTCAATAACAGATACATATTGTAGGTAAGACTGGTGCATGAATTAGCAATTTGAGAGCAAATGGATGATGATGTAGTGATTACCACGACAAACACTCTAGAATTATCGGGTAACGTATTCGAGAGAAGGGTGATGCCGGAATTCAGTGTGCTGAATGGTACGACAACTAGAGGGTTATCGTTGCTTCCAAATTGTATGGCTGCGCCTAATGATGAGCCGAAGGTGAGGATCTGATTAGCAAAGCTGCTTGAAATACGAAAATATAAGTTTTGTTGGCGGCCAGCTTCAAGAATAAACGACGAATTGTCGATACCAACGAGTCCAAGGAGCATGCTTCTATCAAGAGGAAGCAGAGAGGTGTTGTCTGAGTTGGTGGTCACTGTCTGATTGAATGAGGAGATATCTGCTGTGTAGGAACCATTTGGATAAGAAGAGACGTTTCGCAGAGAGGTTGACAGTAGATCGAGTACATTGAGTACAGAGCTTGTTGTCGTCGTTGTTGTTATCGCTAGATAGAATGTTAAGAAACAAGTTTTCAGACGGAGGTTAGAAATAGGAAACTGCTTGTTCCGATCGAAGGTT